GATTTGCTCGCGTACTATTAAATTTAAATGTGAGCGCTTAACTGAGCAACTACGGCCAAATGCACGCTAACAACAATTATTGAAGTCTGAATATATGCATCAAATAGAATGGGATGGTATGGTTTATCACGTGGTAGAGCCATGCTGCAGCTATATTAACTGTATAGTTGTAGCACAAATGGGTCGGCTCGACCGGGGAAGGACCACGCTCTCACAGAATACCAACGTAAAATAGCAGCTTAATGCAGCTGTGTTTCGTATAGTGAGTGTAAAGAACCGGAGGCCCGTTTTGACTGGAAAAGGAGTATTCCATCTTAGTCCTCACGGCTGACAACGCATCTGCATTTTGATTCGCAAAAGAGGACATATGTAGATATCTATGGGCCACAGCAACCACTTACCATCAGGTGGACTGTGTGCTCGCTTGTCATTCTTATCCTATAAAAAAAAGAAGAAGAAAAAGGACAAACCCACTGTTCAGTAACATAACTCAAAGTAACATAATCCATAGGCCTCCACATAGATTGCCTAGAAGGGAGGATATATGCCATAGTTTCCACACTTGGCAAGCGGGTTGGCATCCGCCGGTTTTTTTTTACTTTTAGTTATTATCAGGAAGACTGTCGCCTCTTGCGGCACCCACGGGATGACATGGGGTAGCGGATATTATTACACTGCACCTACACGGTAAACATAATCCATAAAAATTATAATTGTTAATAATGTCGGTTATGAATTTTGGTTGCACTGTGTATTGTGGTATTAATATAATTAAAATTTTAATATTGTCTATGATTGATGCGGGCTGCTTTAATGTGTGAGTATTAAAACAAATTGTTTGCAGCCCAGCCCATCATGAGTTCATTGCTAAGCATACTTCCTATATTCTTGTACTGTGGATCCTTTCATTGAGTATTTTATGATGATTATCATCTCAATAAAATAAAACAAGATAAACAGTCGGACATTTTAATTTTATTCCAAATAGAATCTCCAAGATGTTACAAAAATAATATTCTCTCTACATGTCTTTGTACAGATCAAGCCTCGATGAACTGTTAAACATTTAAAATTCGTATCGATGAAAAATGGTTTCCAAACTAGCCGAGAGCAAATATTTGTTACAATTTCTTTTAGTCGTATGCAAGTCATAGAACAAGAATTGGTATAAAATATTCAGAGTATGTATGTTTTCTTTATTTAATTATTCTTGTTTCATCATTATTTTATGTTAACATATTTAGATTTTAATATGTGGGCAAAGATAACAGCCCAATATTTATAACAGTAACTTATCTTTGCTCACGGCTGCCATATACCTATGCCTCCATAACTTGTCAGCCGTCACATGCAATTATAGCAGTAATTTATTTTCTATTAAGTGCTATAAAAGCGTGCGCATTAAATTAGGACTAGTTCGTGGTCCGCTGTATCAACACTTACTAGCCTACTGAACCTAAAACGATCTTAACAGTGACCTTAGTATCTGAAAATGTACCGAACGAATTCAGTAAATCGATTAGAATTAGAATTGGGAAGACACTGTTTCAAAACCAGAGACGGATCAAAATTTCCTGTTCTCGAAAATAAACGTTAGACAACTCGAAAATGAAACTTTTCCATTATATATTTAAAAATAAATTCTCTACTTATATATTAAAAATTTATATATTTTTAAATATTAAACATGCAACAACCTTAAAACCTATAATCCTATCTAGCATAGATTGCTAATGTATGTATGCTAGAGATTTACTATTGCCCATCTAGTTTTGAAACATCACAAGCAAAATCAATTTATATGATATAATAAAGTTGGTGTTATTACCTCCTTGTTTTCATGGGACCAAATATAAATTGGGGAAAAATATATTTATATTGATTATGTTTAATCTTGGAGTGTTTATTCTTCAATGAATTCATATTTTATCAATAACAATGTTAACAAAAGTTTTCCTAGCAAAATTACGTCATATCATTCCAATACATTTTCAGAGTATGTCAATAGACCTTCTTAGTGTGAATATTTACAAATTAACTGGTATATAAGCGTAGATAATGGATACTTTCCATTTCAAATTCCTTTATATCGTCATTCATAATTATCAAAACAATAACATTTATGGTTAAATTAAAATACCTTTAGATGTTTACGCAAAATTGACACAAATACACAACAGAGTTGACATTTTATGATGTATTTTCAGTGTTCCCTGCCTATATTAGAAAAAGGGAACACTCACAACACCTTGGCGTCTGTCACAGATGTTTTTCTTAGACTATTTTTGTTAAATGCTTGAAATATTTTCCTGTCTTTTTTTATTAAACAAAAATGTAAAGTAAGCCGATTTTGATATTTTCATGGAAGGTATTCAGTGTTGTGTTGCATTTTATTTAACATTTATTCGAGTAAAAAAAAGTAAGGTATTCAAATAATAATCATGGATAAAGACAACACGCTATAGATCAAAGGAAAGTTAGCAGAATTGTTTTACTTTTATGCCATTTTGTAAGCATATTTTTGTAAAAATCGCTTAATCATGACTCACTATTATCATAAAAAAAATCGTTCTTTTAAGATTGTATGAATATTAGGAAACAGGTGTTTCTGATGATGAAAATTATAAATATTCAATAACAGGTGGTCTACCAGGGTGGTCAATTTATGATCGATGTATAATTTAAAAAAAAATAACGTTACCACCACACCAGGATTTTCTCCTTTATCGGGGAGGCAGTTTACAAACATAAATTGCACAAGGACAAACATTCTGATCCGGAACAATTACTTGTAGGCCATACAAATACTAGTTCCATGCGGGATTCGAACCCGCGCGCCTCAGCGCCGTAACTCATTGCTAAGCCACTGCGCCACGGAGCCTTGGAATTGCTAGAAACAATGTTAGTTTTACTCGAAAATCGAATCGAATATTAAAGCTATTTCCGTAGTAAGCCTGCTGCTCATTAAATAGGATAAATTTTAAATATAATAACTTCTTGTGCTTGATTAATTCTTGATTTTTTTTTATCCTTTAACAATTGACAAAATTGTACAAGTAGGTAATTTAGGAATTTATGGTAATGGCAATAACATCAATGAGAGAGTAAAATGGACTTAATCATCACACTTGTAGCTTTAATATCAAAAGTAGCTTTTGTGTGTGTTCATTGTTATTGGTATGTTAAGGACATTAAAAATCAAAATCCGGATTTTTAGAGGATAAAACATTTCTATAAGTACTCTCTCTCTCTCTGTACAGTGTACATTTAATCTTAAATATTATTAGTTAAGCAGTCAAATGTTTTTTTACCAATATGATAAACAATTTTAAAGCAAGTATTGCACAATACATTTTTACTAAGAATGAGAAGAGGAAGTTAAATACCTCATAATATTTTATCCAATTTGGAGTTAAGACCTCCCACTTCGTAATATAACGCATTAACATATAATGAGAAGTTTGTGACATATTTCTTAAAGGACAGTGTGTAATATCTTCTTTTTGACTGGCTGGAAGGCCTTATAACTAATGACACAATAATTAAAAAGTAAAGATATTTTTAAAAACACATAAATATTACGTTAAGTTCACTTGTTATTAATTGACAGTGGCAAAAGTACAACAATACAAGCCCAGTGGCAATAAAAATGGTCACTTGCATTTATATAAAAAAATATTCAAAACTTCCGCTACGCTTTCATTTGGAGTTTGCTAATGTCAATTAATTAAACAGCCGAAGAAAGTGTTCATATTAAAATAACTCGTGCATTTTTAATATTTGATTATACAATAAAATCGCTATGATATCAAATACTGTAATGACACATATTTAATCTCGCTCTTCTTAAGAAATCTTTCAATTCGTGTATAGTACATAGGAATTTCCTAATTAAGTATACAATCAAACAATATAACTTGGTATTTCTTTGATACTAGCGTAGCCAATTCCGATGCATCCAATGTATGGTGCACTGATCACAGTAGCAAAATATAGGTATATAGCTACAAAATATTATGCGATTTGTTTATAAATAGTTATCTCTAGAACAAAAACATGAAAGAACATAATATCATATATTGTTCAATATTTTAAACAGAAAAAAAAATATTGAAGTTTTACTAGGATGTACGATAAAAATACAAATAATATATATATTTCATAGTTCAGGCCAGTGATGTTCTTACTTAAAGCGATGGATACGATTCACGTAACGATGGTCGCACGGACCATCCATCTCACAAAATTTAGTAGGTAGTATGCGACAAGTTAGATTGGGGATAGATTAGTTCTACAACGGTCCGTATGACAAGGTTATGTCGAAGGTTCGATAAATATATCATCGAAATTTGCGACTCGACCGCATATTATGTCGTAGTGTGAGTGTTGATGATTGCGACGGTCCAATCACACCAATCAGACTGACAAATAATGTTTAGTAAGGGAAGTGTCAGTGTGTCAAATAATAAAATTGCAGGAAAAAAATGAAAATGAATTTATGATCGACTTACGACGCGCGACGTATGAAAGAAATTCGAGTAATCAAAAAATTATAATTTATCTAAAGAACTTTTTACTTAAAAATGCCAAATAGTATTGAGTTAATATAAAAAAGTGTGCAGATCACACGTGGTAGAAGTGAAAACTTTCAAATGAAATGAAATATAGAGTAAAAATATTTCACGGCAAATTATTTATTTAATATGAATATTTTTAAACACGAGTGCAGCATAAAATATACGATAAAATTTTAATTTCATAGCAAATAAATGTTACAATCCATATTTTTAGGCTTAATTTTAGTATAATAAATCAAAAGAATATTTTCTTACGAGTAAAATTGCTTTGTAATAGCGCCATCTATTTCATTTTATAGGTAATCATTTTAAAGAAAAAAAGTTGAGTAACCCTAAAGGAGGTATTGTATGTACAATAGATGCTAGATGGCCTGAAGGTATGAAATCGTGGATTATTATAAATTCTCAGAGCACACTATTTTTCACATTTTCCACTAGTAACGACAGACAGACAGTTCCTCTTTTAGGGGTTCTTCCATTTACTATCGCAATGCATGTGTGTTTAACAAACTGGCGTTACGACTGTTTTATCGACGGTCCGTACTGCCGTCGCTACGTGAATGGCCAGGCCCCTATTAGTGATGAGATTGAGCCTTTTATAAATATTAAAACAAAAACATTATAAATAATATATATTATGTGTATATTTCATTTCCTATAATTATCTTAAGAATCAACATGACACAACACGGTTGGATTTATGAATGACGATAGTACCGCAACACTAAGACTTCCTTATACTCTCAAACCCATTCCGGAGCCGGCAGAGTTCCAGAGTGTAGATTGTTATCTAATTAAATCTAGTATACCAAGAGGTTCCCATTCCCACACACGATCAGACTAGATACGAAAGGCACGAACTCACAACGACCTAAGAAACTTAAATTTACATCGTCGCAATAACTATGATTTATATATAATATATATTTGGCTTGAGAAATACTATTCTATACAAAATTAATTTAGAAATAGTTATTAGCGATCGGTGAGTGACTTTTGTGTTATAATAGATCATACTTAAATGTAGTTATAGTTGAGAAGGACGATTATGGATCAATTATTGTAGTTATTTAAAAACTGAAGAAACTCAATCAATCTATAGTTGAGAATTGGTTTCATTGCTACAAACATTTAATGCGACACAAACTTAAAATTAAACACTTTTTAAGATGTTTTACAATAAAACTATGTAAAATTCACACAACCTAATCCCAAATCCAGTCATTTTAAATGCCAAATATTAATTTATAGACTGTTTTTGGCAACCATTTTGTTGTAACTTAAATTTAAAGATGAAGAATTGAGTTTAAGGAAAATATTAATATAATACTATTTGAGTGAGAGTATTTAAAACTGTAAAGGAAGCACAACAAATTACATAGACAATACTTAACAAAATTAAAACTATATCGAATCTTAAACCTTAAGACATATAAACATAAGGAAGGGAACCTCTTGCGCATTTTGTATTCCCAATTAGAATAATTATCTCTAGAAAAATATTTATGCCTATATATAAGAATGTCATTATATTTGAGAGCAGCTTAAAGTTAGTTTAGACGTGAAGTAGGTACGTTGTTTCGATAGGCACGAATCCAGGCATCCTGTAGGCGATCTGCAAGTATAACAATGTTAATGTTAGGAAATAATGACTTAAACAAAATCAATCCCATCACAGATCACAATGAGATCTCTTATGTTGTTTGTCCGTAATCGCCACGGTGGGCAGGCGAATTGGCGATTACAGTACAATATGCCTTGTATCTTTAACATTGCTCCCAATTGAACTATTGCATTACAATTTAATAGCTACATTTAATAACCCATTACAACAATGACAATTTACAATATCACATGAGACATAACATGGAATTCCGATGTCATATTCGAAACCCTTATAAAGTTGTGGTCTGTCTATCCTTATGTATCACAGCAACATAATTTCCATTTTTTTACTTAATTGGTAAGACCTTTATGAGTATAATATTCTTTCGAAATAAATTTGGCACACTTTTTGAAAGGTCTTTGAAAATAGTTATGAGATCCTTTGTACCATCTTTAACAAATAAACTTGGTTTTCAAAATATCAAGCTTCATGGAAGCCCACAATGTCAAACACTCTTCCCCCCAAATTTTAAATAATGCAAATAAAAACTGAAAAATATCTCAAACGGTTATGATCACCGAAACCGTAAAACGCGTGCCAATAAAGAATATAATCTGAAATGGCAGTTGATATCGTGCTATCTCACTCGCACATTACTTTGTATCTCTGTTTTCACCCTATACGGTAAGAAAAAATGCCTTGAGAACTTAATCAGTTCGAATGGTTGAAATTTGTAATTCGCAATCGCAATTATACAATTTCTTAATGTTCGTTCTTCTTTGATTTTATTGTTGTTGATAACTGAAGTTAACGTAGAAATTATTGGTTCAAATGACTTCCGTTAGAATAGTATTTGTATTTACTTGCAAAACCTAATTTAAAAAAATCTCATTACTTATCTAATAAAATGTAATGTATTTGTTTTAAAATAATTTTAATAGTGCCTATGATCAGAAACAAAATTATTTTTATGTTGTCCATATTACGTACTCTCTGACATTAATAACGAATTGAATTTCTTTAATGGAATGCGTTATATAAAAAGGCTATGCATTTTAATATTGAATAAAAATACAACTTCAGGATATTATTTAAGTTGGTGGGAATATAATGTTTTAACAACATCTGCGAATTTGCAGACTGTCATTTTCTGAAACAATTTCATAGCATAGCTTGTCCTGAGTTTCCTCTATTTATGTACGTCCCTTTCCTTCCAATAACGCCACCTTAAAACTCCAACGCAGAACATTCAAGGCAACTTGAACTTTAACATGAAGACATAAGGTCGCATTTCGCTTACGGTCGCCTCACGTGTCGGCCACGGACTGATTTGCGAGCGAGCCGTCCCACGCCGCCTCCTTTTGCAACGCGGCTTGACGTTTCTTCTCTGTAATATTGAAAAATAAATTGCTTTTATACTGGTCATACTATAAAATTTCTTTAAAAAAGACAACTCATAGAAAGTGTATCAATTCTCTCTATCTCATATTGTTAACTGAAGATAGTAGTATAATCTTTCTGAAATGCACTTAAAATAATAATAAAAACTGTGGTTGCCAATCCGCCTGCTTAAGCGTGATATGTATGGCAAATATTCCCCTAATCAGTCTAAGGAGAGGCCTATGTTCAGTAGTGGATTTTTGATATGCTATAATGAATGAAATATCTATAAATTTCATGGGTTTGGTAAGGCAAGTGTAAAGAACCAAAAGACTCTATTTACTGGAAACGAGGATTTCCATCTTAGTCCTCAGAGATGACGACGCATACGCATTTTGATTCTTAATCGGATTAAATTTATATGTTTATAATTAGGTGGATTGTATGCTCGTTTGTCACCATTATTCTATAAATTAATCAAAAAAGGACATTGCTCTGCGCCCATACATTGTTCGCCCTGGAACCAAGAGCATCGGAAAATTATGTATTTTATTGTTGATCATTAGTAAATTCCTATATGATCTTATTTTTATAGCGGACTAGCTGCATAATAGATATATTTCAAAAAAAGTATCAGATTTTGAGGTTATAATCGAACCATGAATATTACGGTTTTTCATAGATCCGAGTGATTATTAACAAACTGAAAAACGATGTCCTAAAACATTTAGCTATTTCTAGTACCTATCTACATAATTAGGTATGCAATTTTTGTTCTAAAGTCTAAGTGTATGTAAGTGCAACGTATAAATGCATAGAATGTAGTTAACAAACTTGCTTTCTGAGCTTTGTTTTTGAAATGAGAGATAATGTCGTCGGTCGAAAACAGTAGTGGAACATTTCAAAATGAGTAAATGTGAGATATCGAGCAATAAAAAATTTGAAATTCTTATTTTTCCATTTAGCAAGTGTTAAGAGAAAAAAGGATTGTTTTTAATGTTGTTATATTTTGGTTAGACTTTACATTTATGATTTCTATTAAATTCATTCATTTTTTATTATTTGTTTTTTAATTATAAGTAAATATTTGAAATGTTCCACTACTGAATTAATTTATCGAATGCAAATATCCCTCTGATAATGGATTATTTTTGAATGTACCAGTACTGAATTAAAAAACTTTGTATTTTTCTTAAATAATGTCCTAAATAAAAATGAAATCTAGAGAACCTTAGCAAATAACTGCATTTTTAGAGAATAATTAATAAAACACTTTTATAGTTTTATAACATTTTTTTATTTATAAGAAAGAAAATATAAAAAATGGAACAATTAGTCATCGTCAGCTCTATCTGAGGACGCTGGCAATGTTTTATAATAATCCCAATAAACGCTTGGAATTACGTTACCATCACATAATGAAATCAAATCTTTCTTTTTAAGATTTGATATTCCAGGACGAGTGCGATATTTATTTGTCAAAACTAATGTTTCGTTAGGCTTGCCCCGCATTTTATGCCGAACATTGAAGCATTTCATTGTACTGTCAGGTTTATAAGTATCCAAGTAATAAATAGCGAAAGGATTAGTAGCTTGCATTAATATTTTCTTGATATCATTCCACACTACACGCTCTCCTTCTGTATTTATTGTAAAATTTTTTCCAAAGTGTGCAATTAGTTCTTTTAAATCGAAAATGTCTGAATAATTTAAATCATGAACTTGGTAGGGATTACCTTTCTTCTTAGCACATTGTATAATTGTCCTCCATTGAGATGGCACGAACACGGAACGATTTTTTAATATTCGGGATTTTTCTCTTTCAATAGTGGCATGAACGCTATCGCCTTCGTTCTGAGTGTGCCCGACAACAAAGTATTTGTGTGTTATAGATTTCACACCCAACATTTTTAAGGCATAATAGTATAATGACAATAAATACTTATTCTTATTTTGTGCTGAGCAATTGTCGGTATAAAATATGACATGTTTTCCATGACAAAACTCTTTGAAAAACTGTAAAATACAAGATCCTACCTCGTCACATCCTTTTCCACCCAAAGTTTCGTCCCATAAATAACAATGTCCAGATTTATTAACGATGTCATATACGGTACAATTATAAACATTAAGGCGTCTCTTATAAAAAAATAGCGAGTCATTACCCGCTGGAGTTTGAAGAACCGCTTGCAAGTCATAACAACAAATAATCTTTTGTTTCTCATTTTTGCATGTTTCTATGTCTATCCTCTTCTCTTCTCTGCAAAGCTCTTTTTCTGTAAGATGATATTTATAACTCTTTTCCATTTCTTGTTTCTGTTCTGTTGTTGCATTATTATAAGAACAGCAAAGAGAGCACTGATCCTTCTTTGGTACATGAAAAGCTATATTAAATTCAGTTCTAAAAATGTTTTCATACGTTCCTTGTTTAGCTTCAGGCTTACCTTCTTTATTACACCACTCTTTGTATTGCCTGTACATCATACATAGATTTAAATCACCATCAAAATATTGTTTATTTGATGATGCTCGACAGTAGTGCGATTCCTTAGTAGGATATGAGTTAATGTGTTCACGTACTCCATCCTTAACAAAGTCAGGTAATAGTTTACCTTTCTTGTTATGCTTACCTCTTAAATCTTCTAAAACTATACCCGATGATGTTGTTTTCTTACATACCGTCGTTATAAATGAGTGCCCTATATCCAAAGTGTGCATAAAGAACTTTTTACATACCCTTATAATTATACCATCTACTGTTAAATGATAAGCCGCATTAATAGATCTTTTACTCTGAGCATTATGTAGCGAATATTTCGGCTTTACTTCTTTCATAGCATTTTTGACAAAATCTCGCTGTCTATTCAAATCACCTAATATCCAAAAATTATTGAATATTACTAATCTTTGCTGCTCATTAATCATCAGTGTACACTTCAAGCGACATTTGTCTCCACAACCAGGTTTTAATTGTTTAGCATTAACTAATTTTCCTTTCTCAGTAGTGTAAGCCATACCTGAATTTTTCAAACATATACATACATACATAAACACTCACGCCTGTCACCCAGAGGGGTAGGCAGAGACTACGGACTTCCATTTGGCGCGATCCTGACACACCTCTCTCGCCTCTTTTACATCCATATAACTACGCATACACGCTCGTCGGTTAAGGGTACTCCTAATCTGGCCCATTTTTAATGTATCGCCGATTTGGTCGATAAACCTTCGTCTAGGGCGTCTCTTCCCGACCCTGCCGTTCACTTCCGCAACATAAATTTTCGCTTTTTCAAACATTTCTTTTTATTTTTCTTCCATGCCTCGGAATTTCGTTGTCTCTTTCTTGTCAACTTCTTCTTTTCTTCCGAAGCATTATTTTTAGAAAGCGGGGTTGATGGTGACGGCTCTCTGTTATTTAGTATATTATTTTCTTTATCTTCTCCTCCCCGTAAAATTTCAATAAGCTCGCCACCTAAGCAAACGAAGACCTCGTATAAAGCTATTGCATAAATAATTTAGAACTATGAAAAACATGTTGATGGGCAGCAAGCTAATTTATTAAAATGGTATAAAAAATCATACTTAGATTAGAAGCTTCATTTGCTGGCTCATGCTGGCTGGCTACGAACCTATAGTCTATACAACTTTCCATATTTATTGCCTGATCAACACCTTAAAAGAAATTCAAACAGTTAAATATACACACTATACCAAAACACAAAAATAATATACGCAGATAGGTTACGTAGGTACCTCTATTATGTACTTAAATACATGAAGATAGGTACGTACCTCGATTATGTACTTCATTCAGGGGCAAAGTATTCTCTTCAACGTATTGCTGTATCTCACCAACTTCATTATTATTAGATATAAAAATAGTGCCTGTAGATTTTTCTATGTTCAATATCTGTTCAGCATCTTAAAAGCAATAAAAACAGTTAATATGACAGAATGTTTAATAACATGTATTAGATATAAAACACAAAAGTTAATATTTTTTTTTTTTTTATAGGAGAGGGGGCAAACGAGCATGCGGCTCACCTGATGGTAAGTGACTACCGCCGCCCATGAACAACCGCAACACCAGGGGAATTGCAGATGCGTTGCCGGCCTTAAATAAGCATATCTTATAAAACACGTAAGTTATTTACCTAGACTTTGTTCTTCATTTTGTGGCAAAGAATTCAATATCTGTTCAGCATCTTAAAAGCAATAAAAACAGTTAATAGGACAGAATGTTTAATAACATGTATTAGATATAAAACACAAAAGTTAATAAATAAGCATATCTTATAAAACACGTAAGTTATTTACCTAGACTTTGTTCTTCATTTTGTGGCAAAGAATACTCTTCAACTTGCTTTATATCACTTTCTGTAGAATAAAAGTGGTTAAAATATAGCCAAAGCGTGCAAAATTTTAAAAGTAACGACTCCTTACAAAATACACAAACGTTACAAATAGAATACACACCTTTGTTTTCAATATTGGCGTCTTCATGGATTACCATTTGCAACATTTTCATTGATCTTCCATATAACTTAGACACAGACATTTTTGCAGATTGTATTACTTTTGACAATACGTCTACCAAGCGCAGCATGCAGCGCGTAACTAAACAAATGCGCGCGAGACTCAAGCGAGATCGAGAAGCGTGGTGGAATAAATTTAATTCAACTTTTGATTTTGAGTGCCGTATTGGAACATTTCGAAGTGTCCCAATACTGAATAATATTATATGCACAGAGTAGAAGTGGAACTTTTATTTTTAATCGACTTCTATGTGGAGTTTGACTTATTCCGATACTGATATAGAATTGGCACTGAAATAGTAATGTAACACTCATAAAAAGTTAAAAACCAATTTTCAGAGATGTTCCACTACTGTTTTCGACCGACGATGTTTGTGTGTATTAATGTAAAAATAAAAATATATGTATATAATGGCTGTTAGCATTTAGATGTTGTCATTAGCATATAGGTTACGGTAAGATACCTAGTACCTAAATGTATAAGGATTTAGGCTGTCAGTCACGCCGCTAGACATGCCGTCGAACAGCGAGCGTATCAACCACGGTTTCAACTAAGTTTCAACAGCGTGCGCATGAACAAGGTGAATATTATAGACTACTATCTAGTACATTTGCAAGCGTGTGCGTCTGGACGGCGCTGTTCAAACGCGTGACTATAAAACCAGCCCTACCGACTTAGTATCTACGTAATTGGTAGTATAAGTTGTTTTTACACGTACATTAACTTATTATGTTTGAATTAGAAATAAAACACAGATTAATTACATGTTTATTTTTCATTTTCTAAATTGGAAATAGGAATATTGTCTAAAAACAGTACCAAATAATGGTCATAACATGGGCGCAGCAACCGATGGTTCTGCGTATAACGATGCAATTACAGCAATATTGCACGATTGCTTCTCTGTTCATCTTTAAACAATGTTGTACCACCAGCAGAGCCGCTATTTACACAAAATACACTTTCCATTGCGTATGCGTAAGTCCGTTTATGAATGCTAGGTTATCGTTTGAGTGGTACACAGTTCCAAAAATCACAGCAAGGTAAGTCGTTCTTGAAAGCAATCAGAGTCCGTTAAAATAGCCAAGTCGTAATGTTCAATATATAGTCCCGAAAGTCACCACAACACCGATACAATTATGTACAAAGACAATTACAATTGCAAACGACGCCAACCAATGTAACTTTGACAGTATTAGAGATGACGGTACAAAGTAGGCATGTCCATTTGAAATCGTTTAATCGATTGTTTATAGTAACAGAATCGATTTTTCTAGATCGATATAGATCTGAAGAATCCTTGTCCGATGTCGATACAGAAACCTCTCGAATCGGACTTATTCAAGAACTAGGTATATTTCAAACGATTCAAGAAATACTTTTGCATAGTTGGAACATCTGTTCCTTGTGACAGACAGAAAAACTGTTCTGTTCTGGGTTCGATCCCAGGGTCGGGCAAATTATTATCGGGTTTTTATAACTTGAAGTTCCCAGTAATAGCACGGAGTCTGGATTTGTGTTCGGTGTTTGGCAATACGCGCATCCCCTATTACATGGGAAGTATAACATAACAGTACTTACACACCTCTACCTACTCCTTCTGGAAAATACTGGCGTAATGTTATGTTTATTAATTTAATGATTTTTCTATACAGTTACTTGTATTTACAGTAAGTTATCGTTAATAATGTTCTGTGTCTATATTAGGCATGTTTGAAAATGTCGCGACTGATCAAAAATAGATCTGTTTATGCTTGATTTAATCGAGAATCGATTCTAGTATGTTCGATTTGCATCGATTTGGAGATCGTATTTTTTTCATGAGAGACTGGACAAGTGACTATTTAGTGACATCAAAAATAGGAGCGCCAAATACGATACGACTTATGAATACTTCCTAAGATTTATTATAGCCCTACGTTACAAACAGTATACCATCTATATAGTATATATCATCTTATGTCATACGATAATATTAATACCATAACACTGTCCTACTTTACTTATAATAACACGTACGTCTCTACTTCTTCCATACTTGTAACAATATTAATAGTAATATCTGTATCTAGTCTGCAATATTGCTCTTTAAAAAAAAAACACATTTATAATTAATGCAGTAACGATAACAGTTTTTTTTTAATTAATTGTCGTAAACTCGTAAGTTATCGTTTAGTAAGACGTAAAATATACTCCTGTCTAAACGATCATTAGACAATACTGAATAATTATCTTTACGAATATTTTTCTTCAGCAATATTCTAGCTACCTATTCAAAATCGAGTATAACATTCAATAGGTATAGTAGGTTTTTAAAATTATACTTGTAGGGAATAATATCTATACAAATAAATAAAATTGAAGTGTCTGTTTGTAATGTCAAAATTACAGTTTTTTACTAAATGCATATGAAAGTAAATACGATACCTATAACTAAAATACAATTTTTAAAATTTTTGTCTGTCTGTCTGTTTGTTCCGGGTAATCTCCGAAACGGCTGGACCGATTTTGACGGGACTTTCACTGGCAGATAGCTGATTTCATAAGGAGTAACATAGGCTACTTTTATTTTAGAAAAAGAATCAGGGTTCCGCGCAGAAACATAAAAACCCTAACACGCGAACGAAGTCGCGGGGAACAGCTAGTAATAGAATATAAAGAAATGGTAATATAATATTTTTATTGTAGCTTCTTTTAGCAACTTTATTCAAAATAAATTAAAATGTAATTCAGATTAAAAAATATACAACAGTTCATTAAAAATTCAATCATCGATTACAATCGATTGGGCATCCCTAATCATTTTTCGACACCACATGATGTTTGGCGAAGATGGCGGCGGTTAATGTTATTAGTCGAATATAATGCTTTTTAATGTTCATTTTTGCATGCAGCTAGTCCGTGTTATAAAAGTATTTGCAACTAACATAATAAAATAGAAAATTAATTATCGTGTATGTCCGATGCTTTTATTACACAGGGCGGTTTTGGACATTGTCCTTTGTACAACCGACTTCAATACATTTTATTAAGGATAACTAACAAAAACTATTGGTCAGACATTGATCAAATTTATATGGGACCACATGAGTCACCAGCTTTTAAATAAAAAAAGAATCATCGAAATCGGTTTAAGTAGAAAAAGGTTATGAGGTAACACACATAAAAAAACATACAGTCTAATTGAGTACCTCCTCCTTTTTGAAGTCAGTAGAAAAATTCAAAAAAGAGGGTATTCTCAATTCGGCTATTTGATTTTCTTTTTGTATGTATGTTACGCGATATCTTAGTCAATTGTGGACCGATTTTGATGATTCTTCTTATTTATTAAATAGGTAATTTTGGGGGGTAGTTCTATACATATTATAAGTATTATCAGGCCTCTGTCACTCTTGCTATCTACGTAAAATAATTACCTACAATCGCGAGGCGCTCCCGGGGCAGAACGCAGTCGGGGCTAGCGCGTTCTAGGTGATTGAATGTTAAAGTTTTTTAACGCTGTTTACGTAAATAGTTTTTTGTAAATGCTTGTTGAAATATTCGTCGAAATAGTTTTTGTTTAGTGTTTAGTATATTTAGTTGTAGGATAAAATAGTTGAAAAAGTTTTAATGTAATTTAAGAATGAATACTTTATTGTATATTACCTTAACTTATAGTGAAAAAATAATTAAGTAATAATTTAACTACAGAAGTAAAAGTACTAAGTACTAAGTACTTTATTACAAAACTTTGTTGAAATTTACTTCACTACTCAAGTACCTACTTACATACCTATACTCGTCTTTGTAATTAAAATATTTTAAGTTATAATAGCCCAAAATACTGAAATTAAAACTTTGTTTACACGATTTTTAACTGAGTAGATTACAATCATATTTTTTTAGGAATCGTATTTCGGGTTTATTTGTTGTTTACGCTATCTACTTATACGAACCAAGCATCGCGATTCCCGACGAATGGCCTTGCAAATTGCATGCGTTGGGCATCACAGAACTCACATAGTAGATAATATGGTCGATTATAGTCAGCATAGGTACTTTACCTGAGTAACTTACCATTTATTTCACAATGTATTTTTTTAATTTTTATTAACAGCCCTTAGCAACCACGGAAAGTCCGTTGTGACGTAGTAAGGAGAAGAGATGCAAAGTAATACGGACACTTGCGCGCAGCGATAAAGTTTTATTTAGCTTGCGTGCGCGATTCATCTGATTAATAATAACTATGTAGTCTATTAAAACGTCGGCAAGCAGTCAACATCAAAAGAATGCAACTTCTGTACGTAGTACTATTATTTATTCTGTGCCGAAGGATAATGAAAGGTGAATTTATTTCATTTTTTGTTAGATAGATACTTATAGCGAAAAAATAATTGAGTAATAGTTTAACTACAGAAGTAATACTTAAGTACTTTATTACAAAACTTAGTTGAAATTAACTTCGCTATCCAAGTACCTATTTACATACCTATACTTTTCTTTTGTGATTAAAATATATTTTAAGTTATAATAACATGAAATATTGAAATTAAAACTTTGTTTAGAATATATTTAACCAAGTAGAATACGATCACATTTCTGTTAGGAATCGTAATTTGGGTTTATTTGTTGGTTACATTATCTACTTCTTTATCTAGTTCTTACGAGCCAAGCATCGCGATTCCCGACGAATGGCCTTGCAAGTTGTATGTATCACAAAATTCATATAGTATCGGAAATATGGTCGATCATAGTCAGAATAGGTACTTTACGTGTTCTAACTTACTTACAATTTCACAATGTATTTTTTTCTTTTTATTAACAGCCTTATTAACCACGGAAAGTTCGTCGTGACGTAGGAAGGAGAAAAGATGCAAAGTAATACGGATACTCGCGCACAGCGATAGTTTTATTTAGCTTGCGTGCGCGATTTATCTAATTAATAATAACTATGTAGGCTATTAAAACGTCGGCAAGCAGTCAACATCAAAGGAGTGCAAATTTTGTATGTAGTAGTATTATTTATTCTGTGGTATTATTTGTAAATACATTGGAAAAAGGATTTACGCCTGAGGGTGGTAAAATAGGTTGTACTCTGTTTTACATATTTATTTGGCTAATAGCAATGCGTGTGCTGTGTCTGAAGGGTATAGAGAGCCAGTATAATTGCAGGTTGCGAGACATTTAATACAATTGGTGACAATGAACCAACAAATCTGTCAGTTTATTGTTGGTGACCTCGGATCAAGTATCACAAAAAGTTAGCTGTACATTGGATAATTTAAAGGTAAGCTGAGGAACCAAAATTAATTACTTTGTATTAATTATAATAATGAACGAATGAACGAGTGAATGCATAAACGAAGGAGGTTCATAAATGAAGTGTGACCTCTGGCCAGGGTGATGAGGCGGCGCTCCTCGGCGCGCTCCTGGCGCGCGGTGCTGAGGCGCACGCCCAGCGCGCCCGACACCAGCCGCCGCGCCAGCGCCGTGCACGTCTCCGGCCGCTGCCTGCCGAAATATTAAGTCCTTATCTAATTATAATTTTCAACTAAAAACTTCTCCATAAAAAAAAACCTAGATAAAACGAAAGAGCGACACTAGAAAGAGACGAACATATACATCTATAGGATTTAACCTGCGTGAATATAAGACAGAATGCAGTGTTTCTCATTACAATTTTCTTTTTCTGAAGATTTCATTTCTATCGTGTGAACTGCACAATTTTTGAAGTTATACTTATTTTCAGGCGTTTAGGAAAAATGATGAGAGTGAATTTTGCGCGCGTGCACTGACATCTAAAAGTAACAACTTCAATGGGTTTGTTATTAATTATCTCTCAAGTTTTTTTGTTTTGTTACGCTAAAGAAGTATAACTTCCTACGTGTGCGTACATAAGTACACACACACTTTTTTTTATAAAACTGAAATGAAAAAACTTATGCCCCATCAGGGTAACTAGCTATTACTGTCCATGGACACCTGTAGCCAACTTCAGTAATCTTTTGTATTAATTAAAAGTGAAAAGAGAGTTAATAAAATAAGAGTTTGTAACCTCTGACAATATTTATTAAACGTCGCTTCTCGGTTACTGCTTCGTATCTTTTTTATTATCAGAGTGTAAGAGTGCGAGATTTGTGACAGTTTCCTCACATTCATTTCACACACAGCTCCGACTGCAAGCCTATTAACGCTGATGTTCCACAAGACTGTGTGCTATCACCAACGTTGTTTCTTCTGCATATCAATGATATGTTGCAAACTGGTAACATACATTGCTATACGGATGACAACACTGGTGATGAGATACACCGGCCGTGCTAATATTTCTCAGGAAAACATCGCCGAGTACCAGAACAAACTTGTGTCTGAAGTCGAGTCTTTGCTGAACAAAATCTCGGATTGGGGCGACTAAATCTAGTCCAGTTTAATCCTCAGAAGACACAAGTTTGCGCGTTTACCGCTAAAAGAACCCCTTTGTCGTATCTCCTCAGTCAAGGCACTCCCCTTGTTCCCTCAGCCAGTATCGGAATCCTCGGCGTCGACATATCAAGTGACATGCAGTTCCGTGGTCACTTGAAAGAGAAGGCCAAATTGGCCTTTAAAAAGCTTGGCATGTTCAGCAGAGCGGGACAGTATTTCATGCCGGCACACCGCCTGCAACTTTACAAGGCGCAGGTTCGGCCTCACATGAAATATTGTTCCCATCTCTGAGCAGGAGCTCCCCAATGCTAGCTCCTTCCACTTGACCGCATCCAGCGCAGAGCGGCTCGAATCGTCGACGACAGAGTCCTTTCCGATCGGCTCGATTCATTGGCACTGCGAAGAGATGTTGCATCCCTTTGCATTTTATTTCGAATTTACGATCGCTGTACTTACCAGAACTTTCACGCTTTTTTCGTTTCTGCCTATCGCTACTCCACAGGGTTATTTTGCAATAACCGGCAAAATTTGCAGAGAAGGTTCAGAGTAAGTGATGTAGGCAAATGGTGAAGAAAAATTAATAAAAGAAATCTCAAATATTCTGTCCTTTTTATCTTTATCCAAAATGCGTGGTAATGCATTATTTTAACTGATTATATTGCGCACGCACACATTCGTAAGGGTAGTGGTGTAAGTAGGCAAAAACACTGTTGACCATAAATCACATTCAATTTGGGATAATTTAAAATAAAAGTAAAAGCCTTATTTACTCGTATTTTCAAAAACTGAAATAACGATATATCATTATTTATATATATTTGAACTTGAGTTTCCCAATTTCTGTTACAGCGGCCAATCTCAAACGGAGACTAACCGTCTTCGCAGAACAGAATTGTACACGTGTGTGCGCAAGCACAGATGCACTATCTATTCTATATCTCTTATAGTCCGACGGAACGGTAAGCAGACATGACTGGAGAAAGATCAGGCTCAAAACCGGCTTTACATGCTACCCGAAGCACGGGAGTTAACACCGCCGGCATCCTGACTCCGGGCTCCCAATGAGAATTTCTTGACAGATAAACCAAATAACTGATTTGGGCCCGACCTGAAATTTGAACCCGGGACAACATGATCACTAGTCGCACTTACGAACACTTTAACAACGAGGCAGTAATTCAATTATACCTTATTAATTATTCGAAGTCTTTAACCAAACGCTATGTTGCTTCAATGTGTAAATATAAAGCTAAGCGATATGTTTTATAATAAACCTCTTAACGTTTTGTGGAATATAGTATGCCACCAAAAACATAAATATTAAATGGGAGTTCTTTGGTACAATCGACGCTCGGGGGTTTGTACTGAACTTGACTCTCTTTTCCCATTTATAATTTTGGTGGCATGGATATCACTAATTTTTGAAACAAAAAAGAAGTTTTATCCTTTTAATCTTAATATAAATACTTGACCTTCAGTTTTTTTTTTGCGTTTACGCTTCACAGATTTCTTTTTAATTTAATCGATAAGAATTAATTACATTCAGTATCAGTCAGTTTGAAGTACTTGGCACTAAGAGGATATAGGATAGATAGATAGACTATCTTACTACTGTTATCCTAGCTTTCATCAATTTCAGTCTTACTACCTATTAAAAACAGACCTGTAGGTACTCTCTACCAATCTTTCCTTAAGGCTACACTTTTAATGAGAGCATCCACGACTTTTACTGCCACCAGGGCGGCGCCACTAAAGAGTGAGGTATAATATTTGACAGATTTCATAGCGGGGAAGTTAATTTGTTCGGAAAATGTAAAGGTTATTGTTTCTTTCTGCACTATTAACTATATTTTATATTAATAAGATTAAAAATAAATAAACCAAATCACAGATATTCATAAAAGTAGAAAAATAAAAAAGAAGTTAAAAATTTGCAAAAAAAAAATATTAAAGAGCAAAGCACTGACGCATTGTTTTGTGTATTAATTTAATACTCTAGAAACTGATAAATTTTTATTAAAAACCAACTTCTGAATCAAATTAAACTGTGTAACAATAAACTTTACCTCAGTGTCAACTGGCGACATCTGGTGAGCAGAAAATTATTAGCCCTAATTATACAGTTTCAGTTCAGTACACAAATGAGTAATACCTATACGGCTGAAGGAACTCGGCGCATTTCTTGGCTTTATTGCGGGACTCCAGGGTCGCGGCGTGTAGAGGGCGACACCTTGCGAGCGGACGTTGAGTTGACAGCACCTCTGCAGCTGAAATTACAAACATAATTTTATTTCAAGACGGTTTAGTTCGTGTAGTGACGGTGTAAGGTTATTGTAGTGTATGCAAATACACTAACTTGTCTCGAGCGCATACGTCACGAGGTGCGGGGAACGAGAGGGCAGTCTGTCCGACAGCCGGCCCGGTAACACGTGTGGTGGTGTGTTGGCGAGCCAAGATAAGTTAATAAACAGCGAACAATACATGTGGCGACGAGGAAAACAGTAAGTACTTTTTTTGAAATAAAAAGGAAAATAGAGATAAGTCTCTGGAAAGATTCATTATCATTAACTTATTAATATTTTTAATAATTATGACCAGAAGTTTTGTACACAATACCTAATTCTATGATGGTTACATTAAATGTTTGAACCACGTTTATGTATTCATATGGGGGGTAAAATGTTAATAAAAGTACTTCTAATTTTATTTTTGTACCTTATATAGTATTCTGGTAATCAAGTGAAGTGAGATGAGCTTAGAGGTTATGCTAATATTCAGACGACCCTATAAGATTACCTAAGGAATCAGATATAATTTTAACAAACGATATTGAACGCATTTTAGACTATGTATGTGATTAGAGATTAACTACCCGGATGGATGTTTGAAATATAAAGGCATATTCGCACTACAAATACATATAATTGCATATTACCGACCTTAAAATTAAATGTATATAAATTATACATACATAATATCTAAAATTATTAAAATTTTTATATTATGCAATCGTAATATCATAACTTAATTTCAAATTGAGTAGAGTGTAAATACCTAGAAAAATATTTGTGCCTAGATTATTATATTGAGCTGTAAGGTCACCCACCCATACGTATTGTGCGGTGCCGGGTTCGATTCTCCGTCGGATCGATTTTGACAAATGTTTAACAAATTAAATTTATTATGTTTAACAAATGCTTTCATGGATCCAATCCATGATAGGCGTGATATAAACTTCAACTACAATTATTTTGTTAAAAATGGTAAACAATATTACAGCAGGTAACACCTGGCCATTAAATTGGCATAAATCAAACCAATACTTATAAAATAATAGCAGCGTAGCTGGTCATTAAATTGACATTGATTACAATATTTAGCAGCATAGCTGGTCATTAAATTGACACTGATCACAATATATTAGCAGCATAGCTGGTCATTAAATTGATACTGATCACAATATATTAGCAGCATAGCTGGTCATTTAATTGGCACTGATCACAATATATTAGCAGCATAGCTGGTCATTAAATTGATACTGATCACAATATATTAGCAGCATAGCTGGTCATTAAATTGATACTGATCACAATATATTAGCAGCATAGCTGGTCATTTAATTGGCACTGATCACAATATATTAGCAGCATAGCTGGTCATTTAATTGACATTGTAGTGGTGTATTCTAACAGAATACCCCTATGGATAAGTACAAGCAAAGTGCTTGAATTTTGAATTGTTTGGTTTCAGGTAGTCCCACTAGTAAATAATTTAGTATATTGAAATTTCAACATGTCGCAACTCATACTGGAGAAATTTGATTGTGATGGGGAACCTACATCTGTAGGTACTAGATGGGAGCGCTGGAAACGTGCACTCTTTATTTACCTTGAGGCATCTGGTATAGAGAAGAGTGAGAAAAAGCGAGCATGTTTGTTACATTTTGGCGGACTTGAATTGCAAGAAATCTTTTATAATATCCCTGACGCCGCCGTAGTACCGGCTGAAGGAGTTGATGTTTTTCATACAGCTATAGAAAAACTGGATGCATTCTTTGCACCAAAACAGAGTAAGGTGTATGAACGCCATTTATTCCGGTTGATTAAACAAGAACAAAATGAAATATTCGATAAATTCTTAATACGATTAAGACAACAAGCAAATAAATGTGAATTTAAAGATAAGGATGATCAAATCATTGACCAAATAACAGAGAAATGTTCCTCTAGAGAACTTAGAAAGAAAATACTACAAACAGGAGATTCAATAACTTTAAGCAATATAGTGGTAGAAGCAAATGCTCTGGAAGCAGTTAATCGACAGATGGAAGAATTTGGAAGTAGTGGAGTAAATCAAGACATCAATAAAGTGGATGTAAGTCAAAAAGAGGGAGCCAACAACAAAAAGCAAACAATTGAATGCGGTAGGTGTGGGAGTTCAAGACATGCTTCCCACGATAATAAGTGCCCAGCGAAAGATAAGGACTGTTTGAAATGTGGATTAAGAGGACATTTTAGACAATATTGTAAAACAAGACAACCATTGAAAAGGAAACACCAAGCAAGTAAAAACAACAACAATGACAATTACCGAAAAAAATATAAAACGAATCATCAAAGTGAAGGTGCTTATCAAGTGGATCAAAAAGAAAAAGATGATATACATTACGTTTTTCGGATCGATGAGGATAGCGAGTTGGAATGCAACATTGGTGGAGCAAAAGTCAAAATGCTTGTAGATTCTGGGTGTAAATGTAATTTGATTACAGGTCAAACATGGCAAAAAATGAAAAACGATAAAGTACTGGTACGTAAACAAAATCAGAATCCTAATAAAACTTTTTTCGGGTACGGAAGTATCAAACCACTACATGTGATAGGATCTTTCGAGGCAAATTTAGAAATAGAAGACAGATCGGAAAACGCTACTTTTTACATTATTGCTGATGGCACAAGAAATTTACTGGGTAAAGATACAGCTATTTCTATGGGTGTACTTAAAATTAGATTACCAGTAAACCAAATGGAAACAATAACATCGTTCCCGAGGTTTAAAGACGTGTTAATCGAAATACCGATAGATAACAAAGTTCAACCAGTTTCTCAACCCTATAGGAGAATTCCTATACCACTAGAAGAAAAAATAAACAATAAAATAGAAGAACTAATTGAGAGAGATATTATTGAAGAAGTTCACAGCTCTTCAAAGTGGGTCTCTCCAATAGTCCCTGTATTAAAAGACAATGGAGAGGTCCGTCTCTGTGTAGATATGAGACGAGCAAATATGGCTATCCTAAGAGAAAACCACCCATTACCAACTATGGACAAGTTATTGCCTAAAATAAAAAATGCAAAATTTTTCAGCAAGCTTGATATTAAAGATGCATTTCACCAGATTGAGATACATCCAGACTCCAGGTATATTACCACTTTTATTACCAGCAAAGGTCTATTCAGGTATAAGCGGTTAATGTTTGGAATTACATGTGCTCCCGAAATATTTCAGAAAACTTTAGAGCGTATATTACTAGGATGTGAGGGACAAATCAATTTCATAGATGACATATTAGTTTATGGAAAGGATGAACAAGAGCATGATCGAAGATTAAAAAGTGTGTTAAAAACTTTACAGGAAAATAATGTGGTCCTAAAGAAAGACAAATGTCAGTTTAAAGTAAGAAAAGTGCAGTTTCTAGGACATGAACTATCAGACGAAGGTATCAAGCCATTAGCAAAATACGTATCAACTATCCAAGAATTTCGATCTCCTACAAATATAGGTGAGCTTCAGAGTTTTTTGGGACTAATAAACTTCATTGGGAAATGGATACCGAATTTAGCAACTGTAACGGAGCCGCTAAAAGAATTATTAAGAAATAAGCAGGGGAAAGTATCAGAGTTAAAAGAACTATGGGGAATAAAGCAGGAGACCGCCTTTAACAAATTAAAAACTGCACTTTCTACTATTCCTACTCTAGGATATTACGACGTTAAGGATCGCACTATGGTCATAGCAGATGCAAGCCCAGTAGGGTTAGGGGGCGTATTGGTTCAAATAGACAGTAAAGGACCTCGAATCATTGCTTATGGTCATAAAACGTTAACCAATTGCGAAAGGCGATACTGCCAAACAGAAAAAGAGGCTTTGGCTCTTGTTTGGGCAGTAGAACATTTCAATATCTTTCTGTACGGCAAGGAGTTTGAGTTGGTTACGGATCATAAACCACTTGAGATCATATTTGGACCCAAGTCCAAACCATGTGCTAGAATTGAGAGGTGGATATTACGTCTTCAAGCTTACAAGTTTAAGGTCATTTACAAACCCGGGAAAGACAACATCGCAGACTGTTTATCAAGACTGTGCAAATTGGAAAACTTGTCAAGGGATATACCGGAATCTGACATACACCAAATTGTAGATGGTACAAGACCTGTAGCTGTTACATTGAAGGATATTATAGAGTATTCAAAAGAAGATCAAGAAATACTAAAGGTGAGAGAAGGCTTGTACAATAATAAATGGGATGAAGGAGTAAGAAAGTACAAAATTTTTCAAAATGAGCTATGTTTTTATGAGGGAATTTTATTAAGAGGGTTCAAGATAGTAATTCCTAAGAAACTACGCAACCAGGTTCTAACAGCAGCTCATGAAGGACATCCAGGGATAGTATTAATGAAGGCCAGGCTAAGAACCAAAGTATGGTGGCCAAGGTACGATAAGGACGCTGAGAACTTGGTGAAGTCTTGTAAAGGCTGCACCCTTGTGTCGGCACCAAATCCTCCGAATCCCCTAAAACGAAGAGAATTACCTTATGAGCCGTGGGTAGACATAGCTATCGACCTGATGGGTCCTCTACCAAGCGGTGATTATATATTAGTTGTTGTGGACTACTTCAGTCGGTATAAAGAAGTGAAGATATGTCGCAAGGTCACCAGTACAGAGATCATACAAAATCTCAAGGAAATTTTCAGTCGACTGGGTAACCCGATGACAATAACTGCTGATAATGGAAGGCAGTTCTGCAGTGAAGAATTTAAATCATTATGCACGGAAAGAAATATTATTTTGCATAATACAATACCCTACTGGCCTCAGCAAAATGGGGAAGTTGAGCGTCAGAATCGCGACATTTTAAAACGCCTTAAAATATGTCAAGTCGAGAAAAAGAACTGGCAGGAGGGTTTATTGGATTATATGACTATGTACAATAGTACACCTCATAATGTGACCGGAAAAACCCCAGCAGAACTCTTCTTTAAAAGACAGT